TTGATCTTACTCAAAATTATGTTATTAAAACTTTTGAGAAAACATTACTGATCAAAATCTAAATGCATGCATCAATTTTTTTTTTTTTTTCAAAAGATGCTATAGATTCCCACCAGAAGAAATTCAAATATCTTCATGTTGAATTAGTTCAAATCATTGTCAAACTATTATTTCGATTTAGTTTAGACATTCTAGTTCTATTAACTCTTAGAGATAAGAGACTTCTCAAATTTGAAAATTCATTATTATCTGTTCTAAAATCAAATCTGGAAAGTGGTACCACATTTTCAAACATTTATCCAAATTTTTTTATCAATCTTAATAATGGAGCTATCTGGATTCTCTAAATCTTCATATTCAAACAAAATAACTTGATTTTGGTTTTGTTAAAATGCACTTGCTTTAATATAAAGAACATATTACAAACTTATGAATATTCAACTCAATATTTGTGGGTTTTCTTTCATTATTTTTCTACTCTTTGTGACTTGCAAACTCATCACCATAACCTTGTCTAAGTGGGTGCAAAATGGGAGCAATCGACGTAGAGGTGGATTGAGCTTTTGGTTGATTGTGTGTAATTTGGGATATGATAATGCAAATTGAACCAGGAATCCATCGATTGAAGAACAATTCCTCTATATCTGGTATCAGAGCCATATTGGTGGTGGATTTTTGCCCAAAAATTAACTAGAAACGAGTTGAAATTCAATAGAAAAGTTAAACAAAAGCAGTCCAAATTTTGAATAATGTGCCTAGAGCTTTAAACCTGATTTTAGCAAAATGACTGATCTGGTGAAGAAACCATGTCCACCGACAAACTTTGGAGCCAGAGGTGCTCCTAGCTCGGGTATAAGTAGTGGTCGACGACATCGCATGGGACTCCCGAAAAGGCGCGTGAAGGCATGTGGGGTAGTTTCAAGCAATTGTTTCTTCAGGCAGAATATTTCTAATGTGATTTCTAACTATTTTGTGTTGTTAATTTTCTGTTTTAGGTTATATAGTGAAATTTGGATGATTTTGCCACTACGTGTTTGTGATTCAATTCTTAACTCGACTTCTTGCTATTGTTGTTAGAGCTTTAAGGAGAATAGTGGAGGCCCCCAAAGTTTGATAAATTCAAATTTCTCATAATTTATCGGCCCAGATTGGTCCGCTTTGGTATATTGGCTTATCCCAATTTAAATTTCAAAATTAGCGCATCATTGTATGGGGTAACATTAGGATTGGGGTAATGTGAAGGGGTAACCATTGCTTGTGCTAGAAATTTAAGAATTACTTGCACTATTCGAATGTTGAATTTAACTACAAGTTAATAATTATTTATGTGTTTAATTGTTTATATTACGCGAGAATTTGAATTTTTTTTAATATACCTTCGTGTTATATCGATTATTCTATTAGAATAGCTGCACTTGACCTATTTGAACATTCCCTTAGTCTAAGATTGTGAATCTTACGAAACCCTGAAAATTTAGAACGGTTATACTATACTGCCTTAGAATTACTTTGTGTGACTTATTTTATGCACTTTAATTGTTTTGTCTTCTTAAAATGTCTTCACATTTCGAATTTGAAATTTTCAATGGAAAAGAAGATTTTTCAATTTAGAAACAAAAGATGAAGGGGATTTTGGTTCAACAAAAAGTTTCAAAAGCCACACATGACAAGTTTTTTTACAAATTTGATAGAAACACAAAAGGAAGAATATGATAAACTTGCTTATACTTCAATTATATTACACTTATCTGACATTGTTTTGAGAAAAGTCGAAAAAATTGATTCTTAAAGAGAACTTCGACAAAAATTGAAGGACTCATATTTGTGTATGTCCACTCCCAATAAGTTGTACTTGCTTGAACCTTTTTTTTTTTTTTTTTTAAGTTTTAAAATGGATCAATCGAAGAATATTGATGACAATTTAGATGTCTTCAACAAGCTTGTTCAAAACATTGTTAATTGTAATGAAAAGATGTCTGAAACGTATAAGGCCATTATTTTGGTTAATTAATGCCTGATTCATGTAGAGAGATTAAGAATGTAATTAAGTATGATAGGGATACCTTAACGCACGAGATTGTCATAGATTTCCTTAAGAGTAAGGATATGAAGACTGAGGCTAAAAAGGAAGATAATAAGAGTTGTGAGCTATATATGATGAGTGGAATGAAGTTTAAGAAAATGAATTTTGGTAGAGCTCAAGACAGTAGTGATTCGAATAGTGACTCGAGTGATTAAGGTGGTAAGAAGAAGGGCAAGGGATGTGACAAGTCTAGTGGTAGACAGTGTTACAACGTGGCAAGTGTGGACATTTTATAAGACTGTCTCAAGAAGATTGATAAGCAGAAGAGTTAGATGAGAGGTGAAGCGAATGTGGCTATATGGTCGAGTGATGACTCTAGTGAGGTTTATTGAGAGTAAAATTAGTTATTGAGTGTGCATTTGTGTGTAATTTTTTTTACATCTACGTGATTGCTTAATTTTGTTACGTTAATATTTTACACTTTCAATTTGTTTGTGTGTATAACTGCGTGAATTGAAGTGATCTTATTACTTAGTATAATTGTTTGCATGCATGTTGAGTGTCTTTTAGTGTGATGGAGTATAGATGTCTATGGGTACATTGGTGATTTGTATAAGGTTTGTGTTGTGTGACATTTGGATCACGAGTGGAGAGGTGATTAAATATTAGAATCCTTTATCTATGAAAATCTTGATCAGGTAAAGTGTGAGAGAGATTCACTTTTATTACTTCTGTTAGATAGAGACCCATTATTCACTTAGGTTGGGAGAAATGATGTCGTGATAGAGGATTATTTTGAGCACTTAGGATCTATTGTGATTTATCAGTTAGACATGAGTTGAGTGATCAGTCTAATGAGCATGGTAGGTGATGAGAGGAGATATGTATTCTTGAGGTATGAACAACACAAAATGGGATAAGAAAAGTGTGGTAAGATCTTTTCGTCGGATCATTTATACATTTGTTGCATATGTGTTGGCCATCTGTTGATTAATTTAGTGTTAATCTGTTGTTATATGTGAACGTGTTTTTGAAAAGATTTGTGAATTATTCTATGTTATATCACCATCACATGATTATTTGTTATTGGTTGTTCACTATGATTATTTGCTTCTGCTTGAGTATTTTGTTTGTGACCTTAGCCCTAGTGAGTGCGTAGAGCAAGTATGGTGTGTGTTTCGGGTTTGAAACACGAGGTAAGGTTTGTGATCCCAATGTTATTGGTTACCTTGCTTATGAAAGTACTAACTATGTGTTTTGATTGTTTGTAGGTTTAATGGGTGTTAAGGTAGAGATTTGTTGAGTTTTGATACCAAATAGATCTCAAGTAATGATTTTAAACAGTTTGGATTATATTTCATAGGCATTGACTATTGTGTGAACTACTATCAACATATTCAATCAAAAGGCTCGGTCTAAAAACACAAGCCATGAGTAGCAACTTAATAAATTAATGTTGCCTTAGACCAAATTCTACTTTTTGGATGGCTTCTGTGTTGTTGGCTCATTTAGTATGACCTATCCCATTTTTCTTACAATCTAATTTTATATATATTCATCTCTTATGCTGTGGTAGAATCGTGACTTTGCAAGGTAAAAGCGGGGGGAAAAAATCGTGGCTGCCTACTTTGTTATCATCTCTCTTTGTGCTTGAGTATAACCCTATTCTTCCATTATTTTTTCTACTCTTTGTGACTTGCAAACTCATCCCCGAAACCTTGTTGAAGTGGGTGCAAAAGGAGAGCAACCGAAATAGAGGTGGATCGAGCTTTTGGTTGATTGTGTTTGATTTGGGATAAGATGCTGCAAAATGAGCCCGGAATCCATCGATTGAAGTACAATTCCACTACACAACTATTGTACAATCATTGCACAATTGGTCTTGCTTGTGTAATTCTTAGCCTTGGTTGGTTAATATTTATAAATTATTTATAATCGATTAAATAATTTTTAGTCTACATATTCTCGAGATCCAACAATACTATCCACTTCAACCACCCACTTTTACCTATTTATAATTTAAATTATTTCTAAACAATTTCTAAATTCGCCTTTAAGCTGCTGTGTAGCACCGCTATACTAGTGCAAGGTGGTGACTCAGCAGCTTGTTGGAGTCGGCTACTGACTTATTAGCCGTCAAAGGTGGGTGGGCATGAGTTAGCATGCGCCAAGCTGTTAGCAAGCAACTTAATGAGCCGGGTGCAGTCTTGAATAAGTTGCTTGGCGTAGGACCATCCTCTTCGTCAAGTATCTCTCTCTCAAGTATAATTTCATTATCTCTCTCTCTCTTATTTTTTTCATTTCTTTATCCCTAACTTTACCAAGTTCTAGTGTAGCCTCTTAGTTTATGAAAGTTTCACTGCTATCCTAAAACTTTAGTTTTCCTTTCAATTATCCCATTCTTCTCTTACATTTTACACCATTCTTCTTATCAAAATCCATTTCTTTTTCCAGAAAATCCCACATTTTATTTTGAAAAGTTACGGGCTATCGGAGCCATCTTTACTGTCATTTTATGCTCTTCTTTTATTATTTTCTCATTCTATAACTTAGGAAATATGTTTTATTTCTCAAATTCGTTCCAAAAATGCACCAAAAAATTACGGGATATAAGTTTGTCCCCTCAATCGAATTTAGGCTCGAAAAGTTCAACTCACAACTCATGCTTCGAGATATCAACATAATTTCATTCTCGGAGTTGCCCAAGATATTCATTCTATGTAATTTTAATTCCTATTTGATTTAGTTAAAAAAGTCAATAATTAATTTTAACTAAACATTTCATAAAATTCATAATTTTTTATCGAATTTTTACATTTAATCAACTTTTATTAAAATTTACTTAGCAAAATTTCAAAAAACAAGGCGAAAGTAGTTTACATATGAAATCATGCAAAGGTCCAAAGCCCAATTTTCAAACAACAATAATACCTTAAAAAAAATTTAAAAAAAATAATATTAATAATAATAATATTTATCAAAAGGATGAAGAAGTTGTTGCCAGAGCATGGCTTCTGCTTCTGGGATACTTCAATTCTCTCTTCAAATTCACAGCCATTTCTCCAAAATAACAACACGGCCGATCTTCATCAATACTCCCCATAGCCACGCTGCTACTTCTCGGCATGGGCCGCATCTCGGCCTCGGAAACCGGCCCGATATTCTTCTGTTCTTGCAGGTACAAGTCCAGGTCAATTCTACTCCCGATGCTCCGGGTCGACGAAGCACGAACGAGCTCCCTGAAATCCTCACTTTCCGACGACATGGTTGAGTTGACGCTGTAGCTTTTGGGCAGGCCACGCACGTTCGTGGGACGATAATTCGTCATGTCTGAGCAATCTGTAATACTTCTCACGTAGAAATCCCGGGCTTTGCATAGAGCCCGATAGGGAATTGTAATGACTCTTAGAAAATTGTTTTGGCGACTAACTTTAGATTTCATGATATGGGTTTGCTCCAAACTGTGTGAAGAAAATAACAATGGGGATTCTGAGGAAAAATGAGTTTGATAAGAAAATTATAAGTATTTTCTAGATGATTATGTTTGTGTGGAGATGGCGTATAGAGTAGGGCTTTTGTAATGGACAGATGGGAAATGATAATTATGGAATGGAAGTATAAAATAATGAAAAACGAAAGGCGAAAGTGGAAGGGAATTTCTCATAGCACACCGGCTAAGAATTGCGTATGAACAGAATATTAATTAGATTACTAAAATTTTATTTGTTTCAAATTCGATCGATAAAGTTTAATTCTTCATTAATTGGTGTCTCTTAAAAACTAGTTCAGTACGAATTAAAATTTGATTTTAATTTTAGTCAAAGTCAAATAATCAATATTAATAACATTTTTCATAGATTCTACAACTTTTCAACCATATATTTTCAAAATTTCTATCACAATCTATTAAAAAATCTAATTTTAATATCTACCAAACACCCTTTAAATTGATGAAAATTACTTAGCTAACACTTGACAGTAATACATAATAGATTTTTTTTATTTAATTGTTGGTGACATTGCAATTTATAAATTAAAATTGAAGTCAAGTGATTTAATTGAAATAAATAAAAGTGTAATGATCTAATTGAATTTTTGCTTAAAGTTCAGTGCCGGTAATATATATATTGTTAAATTTGACAATCATAGAGTTCAGTGCCGGTAATATATATATTGTTAAATTTGACAATGATAGGGTGAAATGATTTTATTTATGTAGTCAGCTATCGACGTTGTGTGCCAAACTTGAATTTATATTAATTCTAGTTTCCAACTTTTGACTTTAATTTGAGCCACCATTTTAATCTCTCTCTCTCTCTCTCTCTCTCTCTCTCTTCCCCTATATTTCTAAAAAAAAATAGATTGTAATTGTGCGTAACTTAAATGTAAAGTTTTAAACTAACTGCTGATCGACTATGGATAAGTCCCAAGTTTTCAACTAATCAAATCGTTGGTCTCTCTCTCTCTCTCTCTTCCTATATTTCTAAAAAAAAAGTAGATTGTAATTGTGCGTAACTTAAATGTAAAGTTTTAAACTAACTGCTGATCGACTATGGATTTACCATGTTCAAAAACAACCAATACATATATTTAAACTAAAAGTTTATCAATAATTTATAAGACACAATACATTAATAAGAATTTTTATTGAATAAAAGAAGAAACAATAAAAATTCCAAGAATATGAATATGTTTTAATTGATTAAATTATTAAAGAATCGTGGGTCAAGTCAACAGTTTTGAAAGTCAACAAAATAATAATATAAATTTAACCGGACAAATACGTTTGTGTTTATATATTATCGAAGAGGACTATTAAAACCTTTTAAACAATTTTTATAATACTATTCCATCTAAACATAAATAATTATACTATTAAAATATAAATAATCGTGTTAAACATGGTGCTACTTTTTAATGATGGGATATGGGGACAAAGTGGGAGAGTCGTACACGTGCTTAAACTACTTGTACTTTTCTTAAGATTTTGATTTTGTATTGGGGTGAAAATTTGATTTTTTTTTTAACTATTCTTTAGTTGTCAAAACGAGACAATTTGATTGGTGTCTTAGAAGCCCTAAAATGAACAATAATAATAAAAATAAAATATAATTGCATAGTAGATCTCCAACATATAATAATAATAATAATAATAATAATAATAATAATAATAATAATAATAATAATAATAATAATAATAATAATAATAATAATAAATAAATAAATAAATCATCTTTTAAAAATGCACATATGATTAAATCACAATGTTTCATCTAAATTTGTCAATGTTGTTAAAAGATGTAATTCAATTCTTTTTATATTAATTCTCATTTCATATGATTTGAGATTTATCCTTAACATGATCTCACAAAATTATGACTTGTTTGAAATAACTTAAATATAAATAAAATTGAATCGTGAATAAGTAATACTTTTAATGAGTTTCTAGAAATGTGTGATTAAAAAGTTGTTTTGAGTGTTTTTAAATAATTTATAAACTTGAGTTAAACATAGACGTGATGTCCGCTTTTAAAGCTAAACTTTCTTTCTTTCTTTCTGTCTTTAATATTAAACAGCAGCTTTTTAATATTAAAAACAATTCTTGACTTTTCAAAAGTCTTATTATACATGCGCACCCTAATAAATGACCATTAGAACTCATTTGACAATGCTTTTGAAAATCCTTTTCGGATAATTGTTTAAAATTATTTTATCTGATTAAAAGAATTTTTATAGGAAACTAGTTCAATATAGTACGAAACTTGACCGCCTTACCTCCAAACATATACAAAGAGAAATGTACACAAGTTTACAGTTTTAAAAATCTTCTCTTCGTAACCAGTATTCCCTAACCAATCTATCACAAAATATTTCCTTCAAGCCAAATATGAGAAAATATTATTTCGATTTTCTTTTGCATAAATTGAATCCAAACAATTTCCTCCCCTAGTATAGATTGTGCCAGAGTCTCAAAGAGTACCTACCTAAAGGTCAACTTTGCTATTTTCAAAACGTGTAGTTTTATCTCTAGAATCATGCTCCATGTACACAATCTTTTACACACTACTCACAACATAAAGTGAGGACTACAGCTCGAATTATTTAATAACAGGTGGGACCCGCATGTTTGTGAGGGGGTGTAAACCATTTGGTAACCCCCTTGTGTGTGCATACATCTTTATCCTTATCCCTAATACCTACATCTAATGGGTTTGTTTCAGAAGATTTAATCACACATTCTATAAAATCCATTAATTTTTCTGCTTTCTAACCACATATATCAAAATAAATGAATAAATAAATAATCATTTCTCACTTGAAAAAACAGTGAAGTTTTTTTCACAAAATTCTTTATTATCCCTACCTAACCCTTTCTTACTATTGCGTGTCATTTTAGAGTTTAGCAAACTGTTTGTTTTTATACAGATCTAGGGATGCCATGCCGTCCTACAAAGTTTAGAGTTTGGCTAAGAGTTATTTTATTCAATAGTGTTATAGGTTATTAATTGCTCATGAAATCCAAAAGGTTATTTTTTGTTCACTTAACTTCATTATAAGTTGCTATTTGCTCATCGAAATTTAAGAGATCGCTCGTTGCTCACCTAAATTTGAATAAAGTTACTATTAATCACATATATCATTTCCATCCGTGTTACTTAGAGCAAAATTTAGTAATTGACAACTAACTTTGTTCAAATTTAGATGAGCAACGAGTAATATTTAAAAGATCGATGAGCAAATAGTAATCAAATCAAAGTTCAATGGCCATCGATTAAATTAACTCGTTTGGCTAATACTATTTCTAAAGATAGGCATGGTAAATACAATTTTTTTTTTATATAATTTGAAGTCCACTGTGTGTTTGAATATATTTCTTCACAATTTTCAATTAATTAAATTATATTATATTATTTTTTCCTGAATTCATGTGAATCTTCTAATTGATTTTTATTGTCGTCTTCCATATTTATCATATCATGAGAAATTGTGATAATCAACTCTAGAGGAAATCTCCCCAATGGTCACTAAATTTTGCAAAAAATTTATTAGGAGGTCATTGACTTCAATACGTTCCTATATAGTCACTGAGCTGTACCAAAGTCCCCCAAAAGGTCATCGAATTTCAAAACGTCCCTAAACATGGTCAGTGAACTTTGTCAAAATCCTCAGAGAGGTCACTCAACTTTGTAAAGTGGAACCCCGTACATAACTAGTTTAGTAACTTTTTAGAGATTTTTTGCAAAGTTCAGTGACTATTCAGAGATGTTTCGAAATTCGATAATCTTTTGGAGACTTCGAAAAAGTTCAGTGGCCATTCAAGGACGTATTGAAGTTCGGTGATCTTCTAGTGGATTTTCTACAAGGTTCGGTGACCATTGGGGGATTTCCTCTCAACTCTACTTACTGTGGGACCCACTTGCAGAATTTGCATGAGTATAATTATATATATTCCTCTTCACCCCGCCCCCTCTCTTTTACTAGTTATTTACCCAGATTGTTAGGTTTATATACATTTATCTATCAAGAAATATTATTTATTGTATCCTCTCTCTTGCTTTACTAAATAACAACCCATTGTACCATGAAATTTTTGATATTCATAGGTTTTTCCCTTTCACATTCTAGGGATTTCACAAAATTTGTTGTTCGTGTTGGATTTTACTGTTTAAATTTCTTATTTTTGATTATCTTGCTCCCATTTTATTGACTACGCATAACTATAAAAAGTTTCATCTATTTCGTTATCTTAAGAGTAGCCATATAAATAAAATTGTATAGTGAATAAGTGATAATACTAGTGAGTTTTAAGAAATGTGTGGATAAAAAATTGATTGAGTGTTTATAAATAATTTATAAACTTGAGGCAAACATAGATTTGATGTCCGCTTTTAAAGTTGAACTTTCTTTCTTTTTTCCTCCATTTAGCTTATACAGAGATTTTTATGCCTCCCACGTGAAATTAAACAGGGAGTTCATCATTTTGTCCTACTCCAATATATTAGTAGTGCTTAAGCTTCTTCCTTTCTGAGATAGTACCTTGAACTAATTTTCTTTAAAAACTTTTTTAATTGGATCTACTTTCAAAAAAGTATTCAATTTGATTCAAAAGCAACTTTTTAGTGTTAGAAACGATTTTTGACTTTTCAAAAGTCTTGTTTTACATATGCACCCTAATAATCATTTATTAGAGACTCATTTGAGAAAGCTTTAGAAAAGCTAAAAGCTGCTCTTAAAACTAAAATGTGGCATATGGTCCTTTGACAATTGTCTAAAAATATTTTATTTGATTAAAAGAATTTTTTGGGGAAACTAATTCAATATAGTTTC